AAGAACATTTTCTTAATAAACTTTGTTATGCCAGTTGACCTAGATGTCCCCTGAAAGCATGGTCCCCAGATCCCCACCCTTGCTACTCTGTCCCTCAAAGTGTTTGATTGTACTCAGGAAACTTCTTAGCTTCAGTTTAGTCCAGTTGTGCTGACTTCCCCTGTAGTGTGTGAGCAGCCGTAACTGTTAACCACTATGCCACAAGTTTCCACATACTGTATGGTATTCCATTTATATGTAGCCCTAGAATAGGCAAAACGAATCTATGGTAATAGAAATGAGATTAATGGATGCTTCTGGAAAAGAATGTGAAAGAATATGAGGGAAATTTCTGGGGTCATGGAAATGTTCTTTATCTTGATAGATGTGTGGGTTATATGGATAGATGCATTTTTAAAACTGATCAAGCTGTATTTAAATGAAAAAAATAACTTTAAAAAGTATGTTGAAGAACTTTAGAATGGAAGGGATCTAACGTTTACTGAGCACTTGCTAGCCCATTATCTCCATCTTAAACCCTGTCTTAGACTGGGTTCTCTAGAGAAATAAAACTGGTGAAGCATATACATATATATATATATAGAGAGAGAGATTTATATCAAGGAAATGGCTCACACAGTTGTAGAGGCTGGAAGGTCCCAAGTCTGTAGATCAGGCTGGGGGCTTCTCCTGACTCACGAAGCTGCAGGGGCTGGCTAACCCAAGATTGGCAGGTCAGACGGCAGGCCTCTGGCTCACAGGCTGCGGAGGCCAATGAATCCCAAGATCAGCAGGTAAGATGGAAGGTCACTGGCTCACAGGCTGCAGAGGCTGACAAATCCCAAGACTGGCAGGTAAGATGGCAGGTCACTGGCTCACAGGCTGCAGAGGCTGACGAATCCCAAGATCGGCAGGTAAGCTGCTAGCTCAAGTCCCAAGAACCAGATGTCAGATGAGGATCCAGAACTAGCGAAAGCCAGCGAGCTTTGCCAGAAAGTCCACATATATTGGGTGCAAGCCACACCTCCAAGAAAACTCCCTTTCAGCTGACTGACTGCTCATAGCAGATCTCATCATGGAAGTGATTACATTATATCAGATTTCATTATGGAGGTGATTACATCATTACATTGCTGCCAGACTACATCATAACTGCCAAACCACTGAGAATCATGGCCCAGCCGAGTTGACACACAGCCTTAACCATCACAAAACCCTAAAAAAGGATTACCCCCATTTTACAGATCAGAAAACTGAGATTCAATGAGGTTAAAATAATTTTCCAGAGGCCTCAAAACTAATAAATGTAGAAACCAGGCATTAACCAGGTTTGTCTGCCTCTTTTCCTTATAATAGCTGCCTCAGTGAGGGAGAAGGAGGTATTTCCAACCTAGAGCCAGGAGAACTAGTGTTCCATTTGATTTCAGTGCCATGTGATCCTAAGAAAGTCCATTTCCCTCTGGGTCTCACTCTAGAGATATCAAAATAACTTCATAATTGTTTTGTAGCCCTAAGGTTCTAGCAATGAGACTATCTCCCATCCCTCTTGCCAGGATAAGACATTAAAAGCAATTTCCTTTGTCTCAGGACAGGCTCATCATAAGCAACAAAAGCCCTTTGACTCTGGTGAGAGGATAAATCAAATAGGTCAGTGACACAGGAGCTCCAAGGTGACAGAATCCAGCCACCTCTGATTTAGGAGATAAACCTGACTCATCACTCGTGATGTAACAGAAAAGGATGGACTGAGAATCAAGAGATCTGGATCCTGCTCCCGCCAGTGATGTACCCAGTGACCTCGGTCAAAGTACTGATCTCTCTGGGCCTCTAGCCTGCACTCACTACAAGACAGGGTTAGGCTGACTGATTCTTAAGGTCCTTTAGCTCTATATCTAGTATCTTGTGAATTTATGAAATCCTGAGTCTTGCTTCCAATATCGGTAACTTCCTAAACTGGGCAACTGGAAAAGACTGCTGTGTTTCCTCCTAAATGGAGTCCATGTGACATTGCCCATTGTCCATGCGATATGGGAAAGAGAGATACATAGGTATATATAGGTATTTATATATAAACATTTATATATGCATCTGTCTATACATGTGGTGGTGTAGTGGTTAAGGGCTACGGCTGCTAACCAAAAGGTCGGCAGTTCGAATCCATCAGGCGCTCCTTGGAAACTCTAAGGGGCAGTTCTACTCTGTCCTATAGGTCTCTATGAGTCAGAATTGATTTGACAGCACCGGGTTTTTTTTTTTTTTTAATATGTGTTTCTGTATATGTGTTTATTTGCCTTTCTGTGTCACTATACATTCCCTAGCTTTACATTCATGTATTAGCTGCTGCTCTTTTATCTTCCCTAAAAGAGACCCAGGGATGTGCAATTCTACAACCAAAACATCAGTCCTCACCTGGAAAATTCTACCTACACTCCCAGCAGGGTTCACTTGAAAGTTCTGACTTGCTGAGCCTTCAACTTGAATGCTCAGACCCCAAGGAAGAGAAGCATTTTAATCGAGGGCACCTGCTACCTTGACAGCCCTCCCTTAGTGCTGCACTTGGGAAGAAATCTGAGTTTCCTTTTATTGCCTTTGAAGACCAAGGTAAAGAAACCAGAATAACTTTAGGACTGAAGCTGCTGAGTTTCAGAAAAGTATATCCAATGCTGAGAATGCTCTGAGTGCCCACAGACCTCTATGCGGGGGTACCCCAGAGAAACAGTGGGGTGGCAGGGGAAGAGGTCTGCCACTTACTAGCTGTATGACACTAGAAAGTCACTTCATTTCTCCAAACCTCAGTTTCTTGCTCTGTAAAACTGAGATGATAATACCACCATCCTCAAGGATAATCCAGATAAAGCACAGGAGAGCTCAATAAATGTAAGATACAGTCACATTCATACACATACACATACTCAGATACTCTTGTGCCCTCACACACACACACAACTTTTACACACAGAGACACCCATTCACATGCACACTCATATACGCATCCTGAAAGACTATTTTGAGGATTAGCACTAATGTAGCACCAAGCACAGCGTCTAGCTCAATACATGATAGTTACTATGCACAAAAATATGAATGCTTTAATGCTCAGAATAGGAAGAACATGAGAGATCACCTAGATTAGTAGGTCTCAAAGAGGTAACCCTGAACCCGCAGCATCTGCTAACATGGAAACTTGTAAGAAATGCAAATTCTAGGACCTCACTCCAGACCTACTAAACAAGAAAATCTGGGTGGCAGAGCCCAGCAAACTGTGTTTTAAAAAGCCCTCCCGGTGATTCTGATGCATGAAAGCAGCCGTAGACAATATATAAGCAAATGAACACAGCTGTGTTCCAATAAACCTTTACGTTATTTACAAAAAACAGGGGATGGGTGAGATTTGGCTCATAGGCAGTAGTTTCCTGACCCATGACCAAGAGCATCCTTTAATTCTTTGCTTAAACTCATTCTGAGCAATCCTATTTAGCAGTTATGTAACATCTGCCCGAATACTTATAGCAAGGCATTCACTACCCAATAAAGCAATTTTTATACTTAGGGTTATGGTCAGACCCTAATTCTATCTAGTTTTTTCATATACAAACCCAAAATGTCCCTCCCCATGACTTCCACCCATGCGGAGTTTACTTATGTTACGATCCTCTGCTTCACTAAAGGACTCCATGCCAGATTACTTTAAAGAATAAGTTCACTCTAATTGGAGAAATACTGACGGAGAGAATGCTTTTGTGCTAAAGCACCAGGCGAAGAGAAAATAGCATCCCTTAGTTAAAGATCCTGCACAGGCTGGGCCGATTTCATAGCAGATTTTTATTAGATGGAGGACACCTGGGGTTAGCTTAAAGGAAAGTGGTTGACAAACGGCAAGCACAGCCATACCACAGAGGAGAGAAGGTGCATCCCTGACTGTGAGAATGGGTACTCATGAGATCTAAGAGCCACAGTCTCCTGCTTAACTCTGACCATCCCAGAAGCTCTTCTTTTTAGCACTCAGTATCACCAGTGCTGGCACAAAAGGGTCCACAGCGTGCTAGTTCAATTTGGCCAACAGTTCTTCCAGTTCTGGACGAGCTTTGAATCTTCCCTTGAAGTCTTCTTCAGTGTGCTGGGAAGAAGAAAGTAAGTGGGAATTACTATAGAGCTTTTCATTACACAAATATGCACAGCAACCAAAAAGGACCCATCAGCCAGTTCTGCAGAGAATGATTCACATTCAACTTTTAGTGAGTGTCTAATATGTACCAGACATTATATTAGGTGCTAGGGATTCAAAGTTAAATCAGATTTCCTCCTTGCCTTCAACAAACTCATAGTCTGATGACAGAAGACAGGCACAGAAAGAACTAATGCCAGAAAACTGAAGTATCACACCAGAGGCACTAAAGAAAAAAGAGAGAGAGAGAGAGAATGCCAAATTATCAATTACAACAGAGATAAGAGTCACCGGAACAGGATTATTTGAAGTCAGCATGACCAGCATATTCTCTCCCTGTATATAGATCTATGTGAAACCAAAAAACAAGCAGAAGAGGCTTGGCAAGCATGAACTCAGAACAAGGGGAGCTGGATGAAGCAAACGGCACTGGTCTAAGATGACCTGATATATCTGTGTCATTGTAAGGATTATCTTGGCAACAGGACCAGAATACTCAGCATTTAGTCTAAGGCTCCTAATGTTTTTCAAGTTTTCCATGCCCCACCAAACTTCCTTCTAACATTCTTTACTGAATATATTCAGTCAGGCTACATACAGTCAAGCCTAGTAGGCCCAGGAATCTTCTCTCAAAAGTACATTTTCATATTTCTGTTCTGATTTATTAAACTGTACTTTAATCTTAAACCGTGTTCTTTCTGGTATACAACTAACTGAAAGGAGGGAATTTTGGGCTGTCATGAGCTCACCCCTAACTTCAGAATGAGGTCAGCTCCCGTGGTCCATAAAGCATCATCCCTGTTACCTCAGAAGAGCCAAAATAATGACCCTGTGGCACCTTTTCTGGTTACTATCTGGGCTAAATTAACCGTTTTTCCCAGTTGTTTCTAAAGCCAGGCAGTCCAGATGCTCTTAGCACCCCTACAACTTAATCCACATTTTGAACACAGTTAGGCCACCAGGGGGCTCTCTTCCCAAACTAATACCTACCTCCTTCACTGACAATTTGACTCCTTCAGGAAGATTGTTTCCGATTATTTCCAAGAAAATCTCGGCAAATGTAGCACTCAAGCCACTGATCTGCAAAAGGAAAGGAGATGCTGCTAAGGGAGGACCTTGAAAACCAGGTGGCTGGGCAGGGATGGCATGAACTCAAATGCTAGCTCCAGCAGAGCTAGAGGCTTAGGTTGGAGGTTCAACACCCAGAGCTGGTTTCTGAGCCCAGCCTCTATAGGATTTCCCTTGCTATCTGCCAAGGTGTCTGCTTGCTGAGATGGTCACTGCCAATATCTCCTCCTATAGGAGGTGTCATAACAGAATCAAGAGGTTATCAAGTCCAGGCTGACTTTCTGATTCAACTCAGGTTTACCCACACTGACCAGAACCTGACTGGTGTCAGATCCTGTGCTGAGAATCCAGAGGTGAATCAGAAGTGTGATAGAAGGGCATACAGAGAGCTGCGGGAACCCACAAGAGAAATATCTACCCGACTCAATCAAGGGAGGTCAAAGAAAGTTTCCAGAAGAGGTAACATCTGGGTGAAGTCTTGAAGAAAACCAGGATTAAACAGGGAGAATTCAACAGTGGTCTTGAGGGTTTTCAAGACAGAGGAAACAGCATTCTGGAAGATGTGGAGGCATAACACAGTATTCGGGGAATTAAAAGTACCTCCATGTGTGGCTAGAGTGAATGGGATGTGAAAAGGAAACACAGGATAATTATGAAGGCACTTGAGTGCTAGTCTACAGGGCTCAAATTTTATCCTACAGGCCTCAGTGGCAAGTCAGACGTGTCATAAGATGTATCGAAAATAATTTTTTCCTAATAATATTCAAAGAACCAAAGTTTGTAAGTACTTTAGTTATTTTAAAAATTAGCATGGATTTAAGGTATTACCGCCTTAATACTCCTCTCATTACCTTGCTGATGTTTCTTGAATGGATCAAAAAGGGGTGATGTCCATATAATGGAATATTATTTGGCAATAAAAAGGAATGAAGTATTGATACATGCTACAACATGGATGAACCTTGAAAACGTTATGCTAAGTGAAATAAACCAGACACAAAAGGCCATATATTGCATGATTCCATTTATATGAAATGTCCAGAATAGGGAAATTCATAAAGACAGAAAGTAGAATAGAAGTTACCAGGGGCTGGAGGGAGGGAGTAATGGGGAGTTATTGTTTAATGGATACAGAGTTTCTCTTTGAGATGATAGAAAAAATCTGGAAATAGACAGTTGTGATGGTTGTACAACATAGTGAACATACTTAATGCCACTGAACTGTACACTCAAAATGGTTAAAATAGCAAATTTTATGTATATTTTACCATAATAATTGGAAAAAAAAAAAAAAAAGAGCAGGGAGAATAACCAGGAGAAGTAAATACATTTTGAGTTGCTCTCAGAGTGCCTACCTGAACCACTCGCTCATGGGTGGTAAGGACTGAGTCCAGGAACGTTTTGTTGCCTTGGTCCTGTAGCCGCAACACCTCCACGGTTTTCGTGGGCAATGCATAACTGTAGGAAGGAGAAGTCAATTATTGGGAGGGTTCCCTTAACCAGCAGCAGCAACAGCACTTAACACCACTTTAATCAGGGCAGCCCCTGGCTGGGTACACCACTACTGCATGCAGTAGCTCCTGGAATCCAGAGGAAGCTAAGCCAACTAAGAGTTTATCTACAACCATGAGCAAAGTAAACAGATCTCTTTAAACAGCCCCCCAGAAGTCTCTAAACTTCCTGAGGATAGAGACTATGTTTAATACCTTTCTGTGTCCCCAGTCATGCCTAATACAATGATCTGCATAAAATTTGGTAATTAATAAGTATTTGTAGCTACTGAAGAACTGCCAGTTCTAAAAGAATTAGGTTCATCATTAGGCACGCTTTGGAGGCTAACCTTAGGTACTTCATCTCTTCTGGAGAAATAAATGAAACTCAATTGTTCTAGTGCAGGGTTTCTCAACCTCAGCAGTACTGACATTTTGGACCAGATAATTCTTTGTTGTTGGGGGCTGACCTATGCCTTATAGGATCTTTAGCAGCATCCCTAACCTGTACCCGCTGGATGCCAATAGCACCCTCCTCCCCCAGTGGTGACAATCAAAATTGTCTCCAGACCTTGTCAAATGTCCCCTGTGGGGGCAAAATAGCCCTGGGTTGAGATCTACTGTTGTAGAGCCTATGCTTACTATAATCAGCTTTAGTAGATCCACATGCTGCAGCGAAAAGAATACTGGACTTGGAGTCAAGTCTTGGCCCTGACACTTACTAGCTGTATTTATTTAGGCAATTCACTTTGTCTCTGGGTCTCAGTATAAATGGGCTTACAATTGGGCCTATATAAATAGACTATTGAAAGGACCAGGTGTGATAACACTAATGACTACAGAGAAACATGGTATTAGTGTTGTCTTCATCTTATCCAAAAAAGTTCATCGAAGTAAAGATAAGTAAAATAATTTACACAGTAGAATTCCTGAATTCTCATGCCTTACAAAACAAACAAACAAAAAAAAACAAACCCATTGCTGTTGAGTCGATTCTGACTCATAGCGACCCTATAGGACAGAGTAGAACTGCCCCATAGGATTTCCAAAGAGCGGCTGGTGGATTCAAACTGCTCTTAACCACTGCACAACCAGAGCTCCCATGCCTCACAAATTTCACTAATTAATAGCAAGGGGCATGGCCCTCTACAGATGAACCTCTACAAAATGAAAGCAGTTTGGTGGAATGAAGAATGGGTTAGAGACAAAAGATCAGTCCTGGATTCAAATAATGGCTCTGCCACTTATTACCTATTTGACCTTGGGCAAATTAATTCAGTTCTCTGAGTCTCAGTTTCTTCAGCTATAAAGTGAAGATAATAATACCCAGTTCAGAGGGTTGTTGCATTGATTAAATGAAATTACATGAGTAACTTGCCTGGCATACAATGCCCATTAACTAAGCAGTCAGTAATGTTTAGTATTGCAAACTCTTCCAGGTAGCCTCCCTAAATAACATCCCCTCCCACTTTTCAGCACAATCTTCAATCTCCTCTTCTTCCAATTCAAATACGGTAATAACTTCCCTTAGGGGGGGAAAAAAAGGGAACACATTCATAGACTTGTTATGAAGATCAAATAAAATAATTATATAAAAACTTTCAGAAAAGTAAAAAGCTATTTTCTTTTCGGGCATTCTGCAGGTAAGATTGACTAAAATGGGAGTTCTCCCTCCTTGCCACTTACTTCAGCAAAATTTCATTAATTTGTTTACTGATTCATTCAAAAAACATTTACTGGGAGCCGGTTCTGCCCCGGCACTCTAGTGGGCAATACACAGTTTATGCTTTCAAGGAGCACACCAAGAGTGTAATAGAGAGACAGGTAAATACACAAACATCTGCAGTACAGTAAGACAAGGACAATAAGAGGTGTGTACTGAATATTACAGGAACAAGAGGGAGAGAAGGGGGGCTCAGGGAAGGCTTCACAGGTGAGGTAGTGCTTTACCAAAATGTAAAGAATGAGTATACACTGTTGGTGGGAATGTAAAATGGTCCAACCACTATGGAAAGCAATATAGTGCTTCCTTAAAAAGCTAGAAATAGAAATACCATATGATCCAGCAATCCCACTACTAGGAATATATTCTAGAGAAGTAAGAGCTGTCACACGAATAGACACATGCATTCCCATGTTCACTGCAGCATTATTCACAATAGCAAAAAGATGGAAACAACTTAAGTGTCCATCAACAGATGAATGGATAAACAAATTATGGTACATACACCCAATGGAATACTATGCAATGATAAAGAACAATGATGAATCCACGAAATATCTCACAACATGGATGAATCTGGAGAGCATTACGCTGAGTGAAATAAGTCAATCACAAAAGGACAAATATTGTATGAGACCACCATTATAAAAACTCAAGAAAAGGTTTATACATAGAAAGAAAACAATCTTTGATGGTTACAAGGGAAGGGTAGGTTGGGGAGGGAAAATCATTAACTAGATAGTAGATAAGTGTTAACTTTGCTGAAGGGAAAGACAGTACACAATATAGAGGAAGTCAGCACAGCCTGACCAAGGCAAAGTCACAGAAGCTTCACAGACACATCCAAATACCCTTAGGGACTGAGTTACTGGGGACCATGGTAGAGGGGGACATCTAGGTCAACTGGCATAATAAAGTTCATAAAGAAAATGTTCTACATCCTGCTTTGGTGAGTAGCAAGTGGGGTCTTAAAAGCTTGTAAACAGCCATCTAAGACACATCTACTAGTCCCATAATGCCCAGAGTGAAGGAGAATGAAGAAAACCAAAGACACAAGGGAAATATTAGTCCAAAGGACTAACGGACCACAAGTACCACAGCCTCCACCAGCCTGAGCCCAGAAGAACTAGATGGTACCCAGCTAGGCTACCACCACCAACTGCTCTGCCAGGGATCACAATAGAGGGTCCCAGACACAGCAGGAGGAAAATGTAGAACAAAATTCAAATTCACACACACACACACAAAAGACCAGACCTACTGATCTGATTGAGACTGGAAGAACCCCTGAGACTATGGCCCCGGACACCCTTCTAACTCAGAACTGAAGATAACTCCTGAAGTCCACCCTTCAGCCAAAGATTAGACAGGTATATAAAACAAACAACAGCACACGTGAGGAACATGCTTCTTCGTTCAATCATGTATACAACGCCAAAAGGGTGACACCTGCCCAAAAGTAATGATGAGAAGGCAGGAAAGGACAGGAAAAATGGACAGATGGAAACAGGGAATTGGAGTGGGGAATGGGAAAGTGTTGACACTTCATGGGGATTGCAACTAATGTCACAAAACAATTTGTGTGTAAATTGTTGAATGAGAAACTAATTTGCTCTGTAAAGTTTCACCTAAAGCACAATTAAAAAAAAAAAAGAATGAGTATAGATGTTTGCTTGGAGGGCATTCCAAGAAAGTGCAGCAGTATCTACAAGGGCAAGGAAGCATGAGAGGCCCCCAAAGAGAACCAGGTGCAGAAGCTGCTCCCATATGAGAAAGATTTCCATATCCCCAGGCAGGGTGCAGGCAAATTAAGGGACCTGTGTGAAAGGCCTCTTCCTTTCCTCTTTCTCTGGGTAAGCTGCAGCTGCAGCAAGCCAACCATTCTCAGAACAAAAGCCAGCACATTGCTTTCCATCTCAAGGTCAAGGCTGTCATCCCTACCCCTGACTCCCAGAGGAAAAATGGATCAAGATGAAATAAAAATCAGAAGAAAAGAAAATCATTTCATCTCTGAAAAATTGGGCAGTGAGACTGCTTAACAATATAATGGTCTAAAGCCTGAATCAATGCAGAGAAATTTGTTGCTAAAAACAAGTATCTCTTTATGCTCTGTGAAATTTGGAGCAAAGAGCTAGGAAAATGGCAAAAAGTAGCACATTCAGTTGTTCTAGGACTCATGTTTATGCCTGTTAGAACTTAATCCAACTGAACAATTACTTATTCATTGCCTACTATGTGTCAGGTACTAGGCAAGGCCCTAGGGTTAGACGACTGTTGAAGATAGAAACCTGTTCCACCGCCATCGAATCGATTCCGACTCACAGCGACCCTACAGGACAGAGCAGAACTGCCCCACAGGGTTTCAAAGGAGCGGCTGGTGATTCAAACTGCCAACCTTTTGGTTAGCAGCTGAGCTCTTAACCACTGCACCACCAGGACTCCAAAGTCAGAAACAGTCCTTGCCTCACAGAGCTTAGAGTCTAGTAGAGAATACCAATAATAGTCAAGTAATTATAATGGTAAGGAATGAATGATATGAAAGAGAAGTAATATATCCTTTACTTCTAAATACATAGCAGAAGGACCTAACTTAACGGAGTCCCCTGAAGAAGTAACATTCAAGATGAAGCCTAAGAAAATGTCAGAGTTAGGTGAAAGGGGCAGAGTATTCTAAGCTTTAGAGAACATATGCAAAGGTCCTGAGGTGGGAAGGGACAAAAACAAAGTCAGTGTGACTGGAAGTAGAAGAAGGGATGAGAGAGGTGCGAGTTAAGGCAAAACAGGCAAGCCCAGGCCATGGGGCACCTAGCAAGCCATGTAAGAAACTTCTATTTTGATCCTTAGGGGATGGAAAGCCATGGAAGGATTTTAAATGGGAGAGTGACATAATCATATTTCCATTCTAGAAAGATCACCTTAACTACCATGTGAAGAACTGGTTAGAGGGAATCGAGAACTGGAAAAAACTAGGATCAAATTCAAACCTTGCCACTTATTAGGTGTATGACTACGGGCAAACCTCAAAAATAATAATAACAGCAGCCCACACAAGTACTTTACATATATTAACTTCCTTAATTTTCACTACAGCCTTCTTAGGTAGGCATTTCTATTAACCTCATTTTAGAGATAAGGAAACCAAGGCACAAAGAGATTAAGTAAACTGCCCAATGTCACACAGTAAGAATATAGCAGAGCAAGAGTAAAACCTAGGCAGTGTGGCTCCAGAGTTCATGCTTTGATCT